TCTCCGACTCAGAATGGTACACAATACGAACAAACTACACCCTCAATTGTTCGTGATCAATTGGAGGTCTATTGCGTTTCACTACTGAATCATACGAAGAAATAAAACCACGACATCACTCTCTAATATGACAAGGGAAGCCACATACCACGCCATCACCCAAATCGTAAAGGTAACACATATCTACTGTGCACTAAGAATACGTTCATTATCAAACAAAGGATATAACAAGACGAAGTGTTGAGTCAGTTTTCCGTGTGCGGGACAAGCCCTGCTACTTCTCACACTATCAGCTCTGGGAATGGCATAACCAAACCTTCAACAGCAATTGGGTGTGCAATTATATCTACCACGTGCCAGATGCACTTACTTTACAGACAGCGAGAAACCCGGCACGCTCTCACTGACGCGGACACAAAACGTCCCATTCTTTCCGGTGTTCACCAGTCTCTCGGTGGCAGCCGCGCGACTCACCTTGCCCACAAACCAGCTGATGAGAAGACAGAGAGTATGCAAGATGTATACACATTTTGAGAACAAATGAGAAGACAGGGAGTATGCAAAATCTATATACATTTTGAGAACAAAAAGGACGTAAAGCACCACTCTAATGTGCTATGACTGGCAAGCACAGCTGAAGCACCTATCATTGTAGCCTTGCAACTGTATACTCTAATGTGCTATGACTGGCAAGCACAGCTGAAGCACTTATCATTGTAGCCTTGCAACTGTATACTCTAATGTGCTATGACTGGCAAGCACAGCTGAAGCACTTATCACTGTAGCATTGCAACTGTATCCTAGGGACAAGACTCAACAATGTTGAAAGATTAAATCAGAGAAGTATTCGCGAGTGTTTGGATGATGAGTAAATCCACGCTAGGATAGCGGCATGTTTATATTGCGCAAGCCTATTCCAATAACAGCATACGAGAACTAACCAACTACAAAATACGTGAGACCGAGCAAAAAGCACATCGGGTTGCGCGAAATTTTCAACAATACTAATCACCTTTTCACAAAAACACAGCCATGGTTAATTTTGAAACCACAAATATACATGCGTAAACACAAACGTACATACATACATTGAACACTTATATATTATATATATACATGTATATATACATATAATATACATATACATAT